AATGAATGAACCACTTGTGGCCAAATAGATACAAAAGAAAAATTCAGTTTAGGACTTGTTACAGAATTGTTGCTTCATGTATCAGAAATAGGTTGTGCCTTATGCCAAGCAGATGACCAAATAAGAAATGAGACAACCCTTATTTCAAACATTTTTTGCTCAAATTCAACAGTTTACTCATTTTAAAAAGTTAGCAAGCATATAATCTAGACCTTTCACTGTAATGTTAATCAGACTGAAATACAAGGAAGCTCATTCTGACATCTTGTTCCAGTTACAAAACTGGAATTGGATACAAGTGTATGTCTGTATGAAAACCATAGAATAGCTGGCTTTTCAGTCTGCATCATGAAAAGACATTGATGCACATTACTAAGAAAGCCCTGAGATTTTTTGGATTTATAAGGGACAAAGAACTTAGGAGAGAACACAGTCTTAGCAGCATCCACTTTCTTGACCAGTGTATTTTAGGGCCTGGGATTACGTGGACGTTCCTCTCCAATTCAAAGATGAATAAGCAGTGTATTTATAGTGAAGTAGTCTCTGGTTCCTGGTCGGTGGCAGCAGTGTCTGTGATTTGTCAGCGGGGGCAACATCTTGGTTCTCTGTGGTAAGCACTGGTGGGAAGGTCAGGTTTTCAGTCTGTAGAGATTTGTGCACTGCCTTGTTGCTGTAACAGAGAAGATGAGTTTTTCTTATTCTTTTCACTTGTTTTGGCATCTTATCTTTTTTAGTTCTTTTACTCATTGCTGTATTTCGCTCTACAGCACTGGCAGCACAGAGTGCATGTTTCAGGCTTGTTTAGGCACACTGAGGTAGTACAGTAGAGGAAGCAATGCATACAGTGAGAGTGTCTTCTGTGAAAATGTAGCAGTAAAACCAAAGCATTTTACAAGCAGTCATTCAGAGCTTGCAGAGAGAAGCCTTGTACCATTGCAGAGGATGTATCTGAGGCCTGGAGGGGTTGGGGAAGCTGCTTAAGGATCACAAGTGTAGCAATGCTAGCAATACAGACTGTCCTGCACAACTCAACATTGCTGCTTCCCAACAGCATTGGAACGGTAGCCTTCATTCCTCTACCAGTGAGCTGCAGCACCTTTTGGGTTTGAACTGCTAGCAGGATTTTGTTCCTTTCTTTTTGGTAGGAACAAGCTAGAAGCTGAGTAATGTGTGATATAGTGAATGTGTTTTATTTTTAGTGAATGGTCCACGTTAAAATATTGTAGACAACTTTGGAAACCAAATGCCTCTTTGTCACAGTGAAAGTTTACAAGAACTGTTGTCTGCATTTTATAATTACTTACTCTCCCCCATTGGATATAGTTGCTGTTGTTTCTAATTAGCTTAGTTTCCTGTTACAGCAGCAGCTGTGGATAAATACCAGTCAAGCCAGCCTCTTTCTCATATGAATTTTTAAAAATGTGTCTATAAAATATTCACTGGCACTGAATTCCTGGAGCCACATTCAGGCACACTTATCGCTTGTTTAGTGAAAGGAAACCAACATCCAAATGAGATCTCTGCAACTCTTTCTGAAGGCAGTAGGTATGAAAGCAGAGTACAGAGAAGAAATAGAAGCAGTTGTCTTACTACGAGTCTTGGAACGTGGTCTGAGTCCATGACCATGAATGCTGAATTTGTTGCAATTTATCAGCTGAGCAATGAATGTGGTATTAATGGCAAAGCCTTTCTTTTGATGCTTTCTAAACACAGCCCTTTTGTAGTCTTCTCTAGAACTTCTAGGAGGAGACTTGTAAATGTGCAGTGAATGAGCAGCAAGGCTGGGTTTGGCTGTGATGTACATCCCAGAGCTATACTTCTGCACTTGCAGCATGTGCTGCAGTTAAATCCAGTTTGTCTGGGGAGCACTGAACACCTACATTAGAGATACAGCAACTGTGACAGATGTGCAACAGCTCTGATGCGTATCCAAATTACCAGTTGCTGTGCAAACACTGTGCTGTTAGAGAACGGCTGCTTCTCTCTGTAATGTTCTTGAACAAACGACATGAATGCATTGCACAGCACAAGCATGACTGTGGCCTGTGCTTTCAGGACTTGGCAGGATTTACTGGCATGAAGGATCTTTTTGCAGCTAACGTGTGCTGAACACAGATTTTGCCTCTTGTGTGTACAGGAATGGGGAATTTCTAGTGTTCATGGTCAGAATTGTATTGCAGTACATAGCCCTGCTTCCACACCTGAACTTCTTCCAATTCATACCTTTAACAGTCAAATGCTGATGCTCTGCTTCTTGGGGAGGTGCTGTACTGAAGGGACTCTCAAAAAAAAACACATCACCCTCACATGTCTTGCTAAGTGAATTCATAGGAGCCTGGCTTCATTAAGCTCAGGGCTGCTGGGTAGTGTTCTGTCTGCCTCTTAGAGCATGAGCCAATTTAGATGAGAAATATTAATAATCAAAGGTGTAATGACATAAAAATACAACCCTGTCTGAGGTAGTAGAGTAGTGCTGGCTCATTGTTTCCACTCTGGACATAAAAAGAAAGGATATGGCCCGTTAGAAACAGGGTGGGGAGCTGCCCTGGGGACTGGTCTGGATGGGACTTGGGGCAGCTTGGCCAGAATAGGAAGCTGATGTTACAGCTTTTATTAAGTTCAAAGTCAAAAATAGCTGAAAGCCAACCCCCTTCCTAGTTCTGATTAGAAACTTTTTTTTTTTCAAGGGGGACTTAATTGTTTCTGGTTCTTATTTAACTAGGTTACATTGAAGTTGACTTTTAGCATAGCTGATGCTTTTTATTCTCCTTTCTACTTCTTTTTCCCCAGTAATAGAAGTTTAAGGATGTCAATCAACACGGACACTGAGCTGCAGGGGAAGCAAACTGCTCACCCCTTCCACTTGTCTGCTCTGCTGGGTCCTGGTGCCTCCCTGCTTGCCATGTCTTCTCAACATGATGTAGTGATATATAGATATCTATGTTAGAACCCCAAACTCATCAAAATAACCTCCAGTAGATTAGGAAACACTGATCCAGTGAACAAAAATCAGGTCACCTCTTAGAATAATTCACAAATCTCATGCAAGCAGTTAGCTAAAATTAGAGACCAAATAAGTCTTCTGTTTGTGTTATTTTCCTAAATAAGGAAAATTCCAGCCTGAAACTGAGCTATAATACATGTAGTCACCTCAGTGACTGGGCAGGTGTTTAATTGGTGTGATTGGTGTTCACAGGTGAACAAAATCTGTGCCTTGCAAATTTGCTATCATTTTCCTAAAGCTTTATGTCTCTGCATTCAGTGATGGGCAAGATGCAGATACAGCATTTGAAAATTCATCGAACAGGTTATTTTTCTCCAGATTCTCTCCTTTCAGAAACACTGTGCAGATAGGGTATATTTTGGAGAGATGAGATGTTGATGCATGAAGTCTTTTCTTATAGTGGTTCTGGCCACTTTGTGTACAGAAGCAAAGCAGAGCGGTAGTTTAGAGATGGGTAGGATTAGACATGGCTTGCCTGTACTCCAGAAATTGATTTATGGAGATCTCTAGCAGGCACTGCTATGTACTGGTAGGCCATCATAACTAATACGAACATGAACTAAGATGAATGCAAGTTTGCTCATCTAATGGATCTCATTATAAATGAAGAAGTTGGTTTATGCTACAGTTTTGGTTTAAAGCTTTTCAGAGGGGCATAGTATTGGTTCAGCATGTTTATTCTGAGTAGTCAAATATAAATATCTAGCTCCACTTTCCTGTTACACTACTTCACAACAGTGCTGTTTCTTCCATCAGTTTCTGTATTTCCTGAGTATGGGAGCAATATTATTGCATGATGAAAAATATGTTGCAGTAGAGAGTGAGGGGGTGGGGAAATGGAATGTAAGAATGGATTTATTTTAAAAAGAAAAAAAAATAGTAATTTGGTAGAAATTAATTGTCTATTCTTTGGGAAACGAGTTCTGTGCACTCCTGTACAGCCTTGGAAAGCCCACAGGTAGTGACTGACAGATCCAGTGGTGAGGCAGAAAAAGGCTATGCAAATTCTCTCCCAGTTAACACGTTTTTTTTCCTGATCCACATCAAAAAAGAGGAGAATTTGGGAGAACTAAACACAGAGGATGGAAAGCTGTTATTGTAAAAAGACCAAGCTAGCCTTGTCAAGTGCTGACTAGTAGGCAGTTGCCTTAAAAGAAAGTATGTTGCAAAGCAGATTACTTGCCCCAGGAAGAGAGCGTAGGGATGGATTTATACACTGGTTCAAAAAGTGCCATGGTTCAGTCAGTACTGTGTGATTATGGATACCCTGCATGCCCAACCCCTAGTTTTATGTTTTCGTTGCCTCCTTTTTTAATGTAAAAAAAATTTTAAAAATTTTAAAAATTGCTGTTTAATGCATTAATGCATTAAATATTTTATGTATTTTTTTAATATGTGGTCCAAGACAATTCCTCTTCACTCAGTGCAGCCCAGGCAAGCCCAGAGGTTGGACACCTGCAGTACGGCAAGTAATGAGCAGGCCAGCAGGTGGATAACTGACATTGATGCAGTGTGTGCCACGTGCATTGCACCAAGAGGAAAGCAATCGAGTCTCTACCTTCCCAAACTTAGTGACTGTCGCTGTGGATCTGAATGACAAGGGTTATGGATAAAAAGGGGTGGTGGTGTTTGTGGGAGCGACGTGAACTCGCAGTCTGAGCTCAGCGATTTTAATCGTCGCAGTAAACATCTCTGAGCTCTACTTAATTTGTATCTCATTAGATGGTGACATTTTCAGTTGCTTTAGTGTCAGCCATAGGTGCATGTCACCTTCCTTTTTTGAAAAGAGGCACTAATCTAGATTGATCTATTATCTGTGAAGAAAATAGCATGAATACTAACATTATAACAGTATACAGATTTCAGAAAGGATCGCACCTGTTTGTGTGTGCTTGTAAAGCTTCACTCTGTAAATACTACAAGATACAGAATAATAACATTTGTTCAAATGTTTTGAGATACATTTATTATTGACTTTTTTTTTTTTCCTTTCTAGCCTTCTGTTATGGACCATGTGTCCTGCTATTTGTCTTGTGTGACAGGAGTCAAGAGAGGCCTTGAGGTCTCAAAGGTAGGAAGTATCAATATTTCTGCTCAGAAGAGGAAGAAATAGGCTGAAGCTGTATTAAAGAAAGCAGTGTGATCTCTACCTTTATTGGACAGGAAGAAACCCACAAAAGACAATTCCCTCACATCTGTTTGTTCCTGGAGATCTCAGTGGGAGTTCATCCATTATAAAACACCAGATTTAGTTCTCAGTTTGTTTTTCTTCTGAGTCATTTTTCTGTCATCAGTGAGGGATAAACTCATGATAAAGAATTGTAATAAAAATATTGAAAATAACTCAACCACCAGGCATAAGTGTATTGGAAAACAAGCTTCAGTCTTCTTGCTGGTAAGAATGATAAATTTTAGCTGGAACTACAGTATGCACTGATTTTTTTCCCCAGTCTGATGTTGTAGTGATAGGACTGTAATACAATAGAAAATGTCATCCTCCTTGAGGCTTGTCAAATCATATAACAGATTTTTTTTAAAATGTATGATGTGTATTAACAAGGAATACTGGTGAGTAGTGGTAACTTTATTTTTCCTCTTGGGTTTTGCACATTTGGAAGCACGTACTTGGTTTAACAATTTGCTGAGTTTAGTACATAAAAGTCAGTGAGCACAACTTGACACCTACATTCAGTTAACCACAGGAAATGTTTCACTTAGCAAAATTTCAGCATTTGAAATATTCTTTCCTAATACTGAATCTAAGATTTTTTTTCTTTCTACATTACTTTTAGTAGCTTTTTCTTCAGAGATGAGATTGGCAGCCATTACATGAAATAGGGAAGATGTTTAAGTCGTGGCAATTGATCTGTAGTAAAAACAAATTACAAATGAAATAACTTTTGGTTACAGTGAAGTAATATAAATTATGTAAGATGGCCTTTTATATATAAGTATAAACTTAATATAAGATGCCTGAAATTTAAAAAGACAAGATGCAGAGACTAAGCTTTTAGATATTAATTTTTTAGATGGTATCAATGACTCTCATAGACAACTGATTAGAAAGACTGCAAGAATGACAACCCTTGCTGTGTAGTTCTGTGTAAACCACAGGATTGACCAATGTGAGAAGCAGATGATTAGGCTGGAATTCTTCAGTCAAGATAGACACGACCCAAGAGGCAGAGGCTGCAGTTTCTCAGGGGTCAGTGCTGGGGCTGGTGCTCTTTGACATCTTCATGGAGCACATCAACAATGGGATCAAGTGCACCCTTAGTAGTTTGTGGATGACACCAAGCTGTGTGGTGCAGTCAACGTGCCTGAGGGGTGGGGTGCCATCCAGAGAGGCCTCTACAGGCTGAGCAGTGAGCCCAGGTGAACCTTGTGAGGTTCGACAAAGCCAAGTGCAAAGTCTGCACCTGGGTTGTGGCAACCCCCACTGTCAGTACAAGCTGGGGGATGTAAGGATGGAGAACAGCCCTGCTGGAAAGGACTTGGGTGCTGTTGGATGGCAGCTGGAAATGAGCCAGCAGTGTGTCCCCACAGCCCAGAAAGCCAATCATACTATGGACTGCATCTAAGGAGTGCATCCAGCAGGGCTGGGAGGTGATCCTGTCCCTCCGCTCTGCAACATCTCACCTGGACTGTTGTGTCCAGATGGGGAGTCCTCAGCACAGGAGAGATGTGGGCCTGTTGGAGAGTAAGTGTCCAGGGGGCACAAATGACCCCAGAGATGGAGCACCTCCCTATGAGGGCAGGCTGAGAGCTGAGGCTGTGCAGCACGGAGAAGGGGAGGCTGCAGGGAGATCTGAGAGGGCTGTAAGAAAGAAGGGGACAGACTCATTAGCAGGACAAGGGGAAATGGTTTCAAACTGAATGATTGGATGTAAGGAAGAAGTTATTACAATGAGGATGGTTAGGCACAGGTTGCCCGGAGAGGCTGCCCCATCCTTACAGGACACCCTGCTCAGACTGGGGAGCTCTGAGCACTGATGGAGCTGTGGGCGTCCCTGCTTACTGTGGGGGATTGGACCTGATGGCCTTTAGGGGTCCCTTCTAAGTCAGGTGATTTTATGATTCAGTAAGTTGTTAGTGAGACACATAAACAGGCTGTTCACTATCTTTTCTAATAAAATAGTTCTGGAGATGTTGCATAAGCCTTACGGGAACCTTACGTGCAATGCACTGTAGATTTGTGAAGCTTATTTCCCAAAGGATATCAAAGCTCTTTATGTGTGAAAGAGTGAAGAGGTCTATAGAATGGAAACGCACTGAGGACTGCTGAAGGTGTAGGGAACCCCATCTGACTGGGGGGAAACAATGGTACCCTTTCCCTAAACTTCTTTAGTTGCTTTTCTGCACTGTCTATCCAATTACTGTTCAACTAGCATGTGGAGCAGTTTGCATTCTCCATGGAGGTGATCTCTCCCCTGCTCCACGTCTATATTAAGTATCCCATGGAAGCAAACTACATAGACCCAAGTCAAATAATTGTTTCTCTGATGTTTCCCAAAAAGTGGACGTGTTACTCTATCAATGGCACAAGAAGTATTCAGATATGGTATGGAAGCAGGTCTGGATTTGGAAGCAGCACAGTTTTGTCAGTGTGGTGCTGTTTTTTGGGGTAGTTAAGGAGAGGAATTGAATTACAGAGCTCATTTGTGGAGAGAAAAAGGGGTGAGCAGGATAATTAGGAAATGCTGGTCCAGGCATGTCTCAGTGATAATAACAGAGAGGAAAAAGTTGACTTTGTGCCGTTAACTTGGCAGCAGATAGCACTGCTGCACTGACTCATTTGGTGAGGAAAGATGAGTATTACATTTTTCACCACTGATTTGACTCCTGCAAGAACCTCTGAATGGCAAAATTGGTGTCATTACCATGGCATGCTGGGGCCTCCTGCTGAAACGAAGCTCCTTGACTCAATTTCCAGTTGGACTGGGCTCACAAGTGCGGTGTGCAGGGCTGGTGAGGACCAGTGCTTTGCTGACTGAAGCACACTACGGTTCCTAACCTGAGCAAGATGCTCGGGCATGCCAGGAGGAGGCTTTTTGTTCTTCTTTTTCTTTCCCTTGGCAGAAGTTGCTGGCTTATGTTTAAAAGAGTTGTTCTGGAGCTTGGAATTTTAATTATTTTTGAATCAACTTTTGGACGATTGTTGCTATTAAACAAAGGAATCATCTTCTGGAAAGGACTGTAGTAAATCAGATAGCAAATAATGAAAATGTGGGTTCATATTTAACAAATTAATTCCATGTGATGGACTAAGTCTAACATCAACTTCCATAAATGCCATTACGTTTTGCCCTAAGACTCAGCTGGCCTTTTGGGATGGATGTCTGTATGAAGGTTTACAAGGAGCTATCTGAATGATGGGCAATCCTTGGAAACTACCAGCTCCTCTGTAAGAGAAATGTGTCAGGGAAGATCCTCCCAAACTTACATTTGCATGTCACTTTCTGCAGGCCATGAAAGCCTCCTCTCCTTTATAACAATGTCTGAACTTTTGTACAAAAGAGCAGTGACTCCCAGCTGTACTGCAACAAAAACCCAATGATTGACTGACTTGCTGTACAAGATGGCAGAACACAGTATGGTTCTGTTTGTAACAGAATTTCTTTGTGAGTTGTGTGACTATAAAATACATATTGTGGTGAAGTTATTTGAAAATGTAGGTGGAAATAGTTCTAAAGAGCACAGCAGTTCTTATCATGTACTCACTGCTGGATGGACGCAGTAGTTCTCAGCACAAATACTGACAATACTTCTGCTCTACCTTTCCTTCTACAAATGTCAGTGTTTGGTGTTTCACTGTAGTATGATCTGATAGATCACTGTGCCAATTAAATCAGTCTTGTCAAAGCAAAAAGTATTGCAGAGTAAGCAATGAGGATTCAAGATATATAATAAATTCAGCCCAATAATAGCACTGATCCACTCGAGTGCTGTCCCTGTAGTTTTGTGACCTGCTTTGGCACCTGTATGAACTGGATTTGAGTCAGTGGCATGAGAAATAGAAGCAGATGATGCATGTGTAAAACATGTTGTTGGGAAGCTTGTGAAGATGGATGAGTTTGTTGGCCACTGGGTTGATGATTGATCTCCTGAAATAGGAGCTTTTGGTTTTTTTCCCCAGCTTTGATGTTGACCAACTTTGTAATTATTTCCCTATGCTATTCTGTTAATTTACACTTCTGTTTTACTTTGCTTGTGTTCAAGCAGATTCATGTTATAATGGAAATACACCAGCAGCACTACAGAATGGAGGCCAAGTTTCAAATAAGGGTTCAGGAGTGAGTTTTTGTCCTACCTGTTCAAATAGCAAGTGAAGGGAAAAAGAAACAACAGAACAAAACATGCACTCAAGCCATTAAATTGGCATGTTAGTGCAGAGCTGGATTCATTAATGACATATAAGCATCCTGAAGTCCAAGTCTTTGCAGTTTGTGTGGATGCAAACCCTGGCTCCCCTCACCTGTATGAGGTTATCCCTCATCTCCTGCCCAGAAGGGCTTAACATGGAGTAAAGCTCCCAGCACAGGCATGACTGACACAAACCTGTTGTTGCCAGTAAGAGTGATGTTTTAGCATGTTAGACATTGTATTGTCTGAAATTCATCTGTGTGGGCCTATAAAAATAGCCATCAATTTGGCTTTTTCCAAATAAATACACATCATTAATGTAATGCATTGCAGCTTCCTTTCCTAGGAAAATAATACCTTTGGATATTGTTTTTCATAGAATCACAGAATGGCCTGGGTTGAAAAGGACCACGATGCTCATCCAGTTCCAGCCCCCTGCTGTGTGCAGGTCACCAACCAGCAGCCCAGGCTGCCCAGAGCCACATCCAGCCTGGCCTTGGATGCCTGCAGGGATGGGGCATCCACAGCCTCCTTGGGCAACCTGTGCCAGTGCCTCACCACCCTCTAGGTGAAAAACTTCCTCCTGATATCTGACCTAAACCTCCCTGCCTCAGTGTAACACCATTCCCCCTTGTCCTATCACTACCACCATTGTAAACAGCTGTTCCCCCTCCTGTTTATACACTCCTTTCAAGTGCTGGAAGGCCACAATGAGGCTGAAGCCTTTTCTTCTCCAAGCCAAACAAGCCCAGTTCCCTCAACCTTTCCTCATAGGAGAGGTGCTCCCATTTTCACCAGACCGTAACTTAAGAATTTCAGATCTCATAGATTTTGCTTGAAAATATGATTTCCCTTGTAGGGATGAGGGTTAACTTTTGTCTGCGTGTGATCACAAATGGCGCTGTGTGCGGATCAGCCGGCATTTGGGCTCCTGTTGGTTCTGACATCCAACTCTGGTTTCATGGCTGTGCTCTAGAGGAGAGGCAGC